TAATAATCTTTTTACAGGCATCAAAGGTTCCTCATTATAAACAAGCTTTTTCAGGCATAGCCTTCAGTATATCAGGCTTCTGTAACCTTGTGTCCTCCAGATGTTTTAAATAAAGTCTAACCACTAACAGTTTTCTGGGGTTGATGAGAGCTGGAGTCCAACACATCTGTAAGGAATCCAATCCAATTGGGCAAGCCTCATAAATTATGGCAAGTACAAGAATTCATGTTTTGCAAGTTTTTTATGCTTAGCATAAAACTGTACAATTTTGTTAACAGAGCTTGGAGAAATTACTTTAGGGGATGAAAACTCCCAGAATCCCCAATAGCCATGCTGGCTGAGAGATTTGGGGGGGGTCGTGCTCCAAAAATACATTAAACCAAATAAACCAAACTATCCATGCACACATGCACTTATACTTCATTCCTTCCTTGGAAATAAAGAAAGGCTAGATGTGTGTGTGTGTGTGTGTGTGTGTGTGTGTGTGTGTGTGTGTGTGTGTAAAGAAACAAAATTATGTGGCTGCTTCCTTGGAGATGCCTTAGTAGTATATGTGTCAAGTCCAGCAGGACTCTCAGTTCAAAAATTCAGGTGTCAGTAGTGAAAATTCAGAAAACATTTATTTAGTAGATGTGGATCCAATCCAAAGATGTTCGTTGTCAGAACTAAATAGCAAATTTTAACACTGCCTAATAAAACCATACACAATTTCAAATTCATGATGGACTCAATTCTCATTTCTTATAATTAATAAACATATTTGCATTCTCATTCCTGTACTGCCCTTTCTTTGTTGTTACAGCTAGATTCTTTTCACAGAAACAACTTTGAACAGGCTTGACTCAGAGTTGCCTCCTCTCCAGCCTTATCTCACTACTTGTGTCTTATATCACCTTAGATCTCTACAATCATGATTTCTACTGTATAACCCATCACACCAGCATCCCAATATTTTACATCAGGAAAGGTGCATTTGCAATGCCTGACAACATGCAATCTGTGAAGCATATAAAAGAAAGTAAAAAGTGAACAGGGAAAGCATACAAGGTAGCTATCTTAACTACTTGTAAAGGCAAGTGATAGCTATTTGATCTTCCCTCTCACTTTGATTACAGGGCATAATATTCCCTAGGCATATCTTTTTCCAAGTAGAAAACACTGAAATCTCCATTTTAACTTCAACAGGAAATATATGATGATCTGAGCTGCAAGAGACCTGACCCCCCTATCTTTCAAATGAAGGCAACTGTATGAGCATAATGCAGAAATCCTTTTTTGTTTTCAAGGCTGCATTAATTTCACTTTCAGACCCTGAAACCTTGGAATCATTTGCCATATTTTCAGTGGCTCACTTGGCAAGTATCAATGCCTATAGTAAATATATATCCTAATTTCAATGGTCCTAAACTTTTCACAAGTTGACAAGAAAATACACAGGGGGGGGGGGCTCTGACTATCATGGCAAGCTCGGATAAGCTGTAAACATCTGGAAGGCTCTCATTTACATAGAGAAGTCCCATTGGCCACTGTGAGATTTTTTGGAGGCAGCAGGGTGGGAAGGCAGTCTTGCAATAACCAAGTAACATCTTTCAGACATGGCAGAAGCTTATTATCTTAAGCCTTACATAGTGCCAGACTTCTGCTCGTTTCATGTCCCAAATCCTGACAGCTGGGTGGACTAAAATAAACATGTGTAAGAACAGATCCGAGGCAGGAAAAAGAGGTAGGCATCATCATGCAATTTAATCTATCTCTGCTCATCTATTGTGTTCTTTTTCAATAACTAATGTTGATAGAGAAAGATGTTACAAATCCAAGAAGGATTTTCTCAAGGCAGCTGACAAAGGAAATGCTTTCATGACATTAGTCATGTCATCTTGAAGTCATGCAGTATTTATACCTCACCTGTTCCTTCTTGAGCTACCCCTAGGCTCCCATCTCACTTTTGATTAAAGCATCCTGTGACATCATGATGATGGTCTGACAATAGCTTCCCTGGGCAATTCACACAAAATAAAAAGAGAGACAATATAAGTGGACATGTCTAATATAAAGAACACCTCTTTCAGTGGAGCAATTATGTGTGTGTGTTGTGTGTCTTCAAGCCATTTCCTATTTATGGTGACCATAAGGCTTTGGAGTTTTCTTGGCAAGATTGTTCAGAGAGGTTTTGCCATTGCCTTCCCTTGAGGCTAAGAGGTTGTGACTTGCCCAAGATCAACCAGTGGGCTTCATGGCCAAGCTGGGAATTGAACCCTGGTCTCCAGAGTCATACTCTAATGCTTAAACCACTACACCATGCTGTCTCTTTAACTTACTCCATATTGTAGATTGAACTTTAAAGGGGTAGTTGAGCCTATGTGAGAGAATCATGAAAAAGTCCTGGAGCCAGCAAAGACCATACTCCCAGTCCTCAAGCAGTTAAGAAGAATTTAGAAAACAAAGCCAAAGTCAGTTACACAAGGATTATTTAAAAGTAAGTTCTAGAGGAACAGCCATGATCACAACTGACAAGAGTCCTATAAGCCATACATCTGGTCCAGCAGGGAAAGACAGAAGAAGTTCCCTAAGACCCCATAGTTAGATGCCTACCATAGAAAGTATTTTAGGAATGGACTTGCAATGGTTTCTAGCAAGCCTGCTACCTTCATTAGTCCTTCATCCATTCACTGCTTACTTTCCACTCATAATGCAGATCTCTCTAATCAGAGATTCCTTGTCTGAAGTCTTCTCCATGTGGGATCCTCACCATCTGAGCATTCATTCCTGCAGCATAGCACTCCTTCTTGACAATGCCATCCTGTCTTCGCTCTTTAAATGTCATCATTCTTGGAGTCTTTGGGCAACTCTACTTTCAAGACTTCTGTACAATCCTCTTCTCTGGAGGGAATGAATTCTTAGCTGTCCCCCTGGAGGGTATTGGCTCTTCCTGGGTCTTGGTCCTTCGTAACTGTTGGGAGGCAGGGAGGCATTATCTTTCTGGGGACCCTGGATCCTTTTTTCTTGAAGACTCCTCAGGTGGAGACAGCATCATGCTTACACTATAAAAATAACTCTGTACTGTTTATAAAGTAATTTGATGTTATTTTTAGATACTTTTTAAAATTGTGTCTGCTACAGACTGCTGGCTGTGGTGCAAAAGACTCTCTCCTCCTGTCCATTTCATTGTTGTCTCAACACCTACAATGAAGGCAGCATCATGAGTACAGTATGAGCCAGCGTTTGAACCATGTGAGATTCCTCCTCCATACCCCATGTAACTATAAAAACAACTTCAACATTAAAAAACATGCTCTTCCCTCACAATCATAGCATACTTTAGTTATTGGGACATGGGAATAATTCCAAATAATTTGTTATTTGTAATTAGTTATTTCCAAGCTCTGAACAAAGACAGATTGACTGGTTGGTTAAAAGTAATATATTAATTTGCTTTTCTGCTTACCAGGGTTCCCAAAGCAACACACAATACGTGTTTTAGAATTTAAAAACAAATGAATAACAATTTCAAAAGTCAGTTCTAAAATGCAGAGTTATAAACCAAAAACCATACGGAAATATATGATTCTGACTGCTCAGCAGATGCTCAGCAAAGATCGAACTCGTCCGACTTCTCTTGAGTACAAGTTCCACAATTGAGATGCTGCTACAAAGAAAGTTCTGCCTTATATACGTATTCAACAGTCAACCTCTAGCAGTTGTGGGATGTGCAAAAGGGCCTCTGTTAAAGATTTCAGAATCCAGGCAAGCTCATAAGGGAAGAAACAGTATTTGGAGGACATCCTGGAAATGCATCCTAGACCCAAGACATTTAGGGCTCTATGGATCAAAAGCACTGCTTAGATTGCCCTTGGAGCAGATTGGAAGCCAGACAAGTGAGTTCAGGTTTGGTGCCCTATGGCTTATAAAGTGCACACAAGACAACATTTTGTGCATGGCATTTTTCACTAGCTGGTGTTTCTGAACACTTTTCAAGGGCAGATCCATGAGGAATGCATTATAATAGTCTAATCAAGTGGTAATTGAGACATGAATCACTGTCTTCTCTGCTGTAAGTTCCATTGTGTTTACTGAAAGTTACTCCCAGAAAACAGGTAGACTTTCCTTCCCTGCTCAGCTCCAAAGAATACTGGAAATACGAACTCACTAAGGCAATTTCCAGAATAGTGCTCTAAACGAATATTTTAAAACCTTACAGCGCCACTCCTAAATTTACAATGCCAAAGAGTCCCATCTAGCGATGCTATTACATTAATCTCTTCTTTCCCTCGGCCACACGATTATGCATGGTGCAAAAATAGCATTGGTATAGTCCTTGACCAATTTTAATGGGCCCTAGCACTTTGCTAAAGCACTGCAGTGGATCAATAGGAGTTAATTGTTATACAAGATTAAACAGCAAATAACTACGCCACTTCAGAGTAATGCAGGAAAGAGCAGCTTTCCAGCACAGTACAAAAGGGAAAGAATTTACAAAGTTAAAGCTAGCATTATCCTTAACTTACCCCCAACACTGAACATAAATAGCCAGCACAGCATTTAGTCTGACTGTCCGATTTGGTTCTGGTGCAGATGAAGATAGGGTTTCAGATGGAGGCCTCTTGGAGCCAGCAAGAATGGGTCTCTTGGTTGCTTAGCTAAGAAATAAGATAGATGTAGGAGCTAAGGAGCTTTATCTGAGTTTTTCTGGTCTATTGGTATAACAATGCTTCTGTGGCTGATTTTTTCTCCCTTGAGATCCTTGCTTTGGTCAGAGCTAGAGGGAGAAATCAGACACTGAATTGCTGTCAGACACCCATCAAATCAGCGTGGGTGAATCTTTCAATTTTTCTTTCTCCCATAGTTTTGTTTAAGAAAAAGAAAAAAGAAAAAAGAAGAAAGAAAGAAAAGAACTGAACAGAACTCAGTTTGTCTTCTATCCTGACTAGGAAAAAAACTGCAAATGATAATAAGCTTTTGCAAAAAGAAATTGCAAATGATAGTAAGTGTCTAGATCAGGGGTAGGCAAACTGTCCCCTTTAAGTGCCGAGGGACTTCAGCTCCCAGAATCCCAGACTATTGGCCAACATCCCAGACTATTGGCCAACATGGCTGACGCTTGGATGTTGGCCAATAGTCTGGGATTCTGGGAGCTGAAGACTTAGGGAGCTGAGTATGTTTAGCCTGGAGAAGAGAAGGTTAGGAGGGGATATGATAGCCCTCTTTAAATATATGAAGGGATGTCATATTGAGGAGGGAGCAAGCTTGTTTTCTGCTGCTCCAGAGAAGAGGACTGGGAACAGCAGATGCAAGCTCCAGGAAAAGAGACTCCACCTCAACATTAGGGGGAACTTCCTGACAATAAGAGTGGTTCGACAATGGAACACACTCCCTTGGAGAATAGTGGAGTCTCCTTCTTTGGAGGTCTTTCAGCAGAGGCTGGATGGCCATCTGTCAGGGATGCTTTGATTATGAGTTCCTGCATGGCAGGGGGTTGGACTGGATAGCCCTTGTGGTCTCTTCCAACTCTATGATTCTATGATTCTATGAACTGAACTGAACTGAACTGAAATTGTTTCCTATCAGCACGAGGCAAATCCAATGAACCCAGCAATTTCCAACTTTACCAGTCTTCCATAAAAGTATTAAAAATAAGCAGCATCTCGGGGGCGGGGGAGTGGCAGCCCCAGTTCAGTACTAACATGGTAGTATATATTGTTGCTATGTGCCTTCAAGTTGTTTCCGATTTAAGCCTACCCTAAGGCAAACCTATTGTGGGGTTTTCTTGGCAAGTTTCTTTAGAGGGGGGTTGTCATTGTCGTCCTGTGAGGCTCAGAGGGTGCAAGTTGTCCAAGGTTACCCAGTGGTTTCATAGCTGAGCAGGAATTCAAACCTTGGTCTCCAAAGTCATAGTCCAATCGATGCTCAAACCACTACATTGCACTGGATGTGATGCAAATGTAGACTTGAAAGTCAGGAGTTAGAGGTGGGAAAATGGTGACTTACAGACTTCATGCGGCACCAACACCATTTTGAGACCTCCAGGGCTCCCAGAACTACTCATATTTCATTATTCCCCTCCCCTTCAAATTTCCCTTCACAGTTCTGCCACATCCTCTAGTCCTAGGGGTTTTAGGCCCAGAAAAGACCTTTATTTAATCAAGAAATAAACTGGAAGTCAGTGTAGCAAATTATTATTATGTGATCATCATCATCATCATCATTTTATACCCCATCTTCTTCCCAGCCCTGGTACTCAAAGCAGCTTACAAAAATTAAAACAGGCACAGGAAAGAAAAGTTCACATCATTAAACCATATGAAAGTAAAAACACACTCAAACTATCCATAGAATTAAAGGTAATTTGAAAGTGTGTGTGTGTGTGTGTGTGTGTGTGTGTGTGTGCATACACATACACATGCACCATCAAATCACCTGTTGATTTATGGCAACTGTATGAATTTCATAGTGTTTTCTTAAATAAGGAATACTCAGGTTGTTTTGGCCAGTTCCTTCTTCTGAAATATAGCCCACAGTACCTAGCATTCGTTGCGGGGGGGGGGGGGGTCTCTCATCCAAGAACTAACCAAGATCAGACTGGATCTTGTGCCTTTAGGGTATTTGTTTGTTTGTTTGTTTATATAATATTTTATTTAAAATAAGATTATAAGATCTAGTGCCTTTAGGTATTGGAGCCATACCCAGTTTTTAAAAGTGGTAATAGATACAGAGAACAGAGCATAATAATAAAATACTTTTTCCTATAATCAGTTGCCTACTCGAGGGCATCAGGAACGGAGTTCCAGAACATAGGAGAAGGCCCTCTCCTGTGTTCCCACCAGATGTTTCTATGAGGATAGTAATACAGACAGGCTTATATAGGAGAATCAGATCCTGCAGGTAGCCTGGACTGAGGCTATGGAGCTCATAGCCAGCACTTTAAATTGCATCCTGAAACAGACCAGTAACCACAGTAGAGTACAGTCAGCCCTCCATATCCACGGATTTTTTTTAATCCATGGATTCAAGCATCCATGGCTTGAAAATATTTTTAAAATATGTAAATTCCAAAAAGCAAACCTTGATTTGCCATTTTATATAAAGGGCACCATTTTACTACGCCATTGTATTTAATGGAACTTGAGCATCCATGGATTTTGGTATCCATGGGGGGGACCTGGAACCTAATTCCAGCAATACCAAGTTCCCACTGTAATTGTAACGAGGAAGCCATACCCTCCCTGTAACCAGTTCCCTAGTCAATAGTGTGGCTACAGCTTAACAGCTAATCCAAGGAGGTCTTTTCCAGCAGTGGTTTTATAAGGGC